TGAGAAGAGCCAAGCATTCTGCAGTTCTTTTAATTATTTCTCATTCTTTAAATCTCGTCATTCCCTTTTCACCCATGCCTTCCTTTTCTGTCTTCATCTCTAATTCTCCACTCTCTAGTCCCACATTCTCCAGTAATTCCTGCAGTTTATTACTGTCAGGCCTCCACTCTCAGATTCACCAGTGCCAAAAATGAAGTCTTCAAAATGAGGGAAAATAAGAAGAAAACATTCTTCCTGGCACTTCCATTCAACTAAGCCTCGCCTCAGACGCCCACAGTTTCTGTACACCATGCTTCCTTCCTGGAGCACACGCCATACCCCACCTCCTGCCACCTGACACATCTAACCACTGAAACAGATTTCCAAGCCCCATTTCTCAAAATCTATCTCATTCTTCCACAGTGCTGACTATTCCAGCTCTCTCTTGCTATCGTTTCCACCTACGTCTCCCCAGAGCCTCATGTGCTCAAACTCAGGGCTTCTGGAAAGTGACTGGATTATGGGGCTTATAGGTGACTTTCTGTTAGGAGGTGGGGTCTGGTCAGTAGAAGCAACCTGCTAGGGGCATGGCCTGCAAGGCTTTATCTCCTGCCCGCATCTGTTCCCTTTTCTGTCTGTCTGTCTGTCTGTCTGTCTGACTTTCCCTCATTCCTGGCCATCATGATTTACGCGGCTCCCCTTCTGCTATGCCCCTTGGCCATGCTACCCTGCCTTGGACTCAAACCTCTACAAACTGTGATCCAAAACAATGAGCTTCGCCTCCTTTCAGGTGCAGGTGTCAGGTATTTTGTCTCAACAAGAAAGTGACCAAGACGCCTGTCTTCTCCACTACCCTCATAGACTGCAACATACTATTACTCTCTCTTTTTAGGCTTCCTCACTTCCTCAGCCATGTGATTTCACTGCAGTGTACTGACTCACCTAGGCCCAAAAGCAACAGGCCAAGTGACTATGACTGAAACCTCCCACAATGACTGCCTCCTGTGACCATGAGAAAAACGAAATGTTCAAATACCCTAGTAGCCACAAGTTAACATCCGAAACTGCCTCCTTTATGGACTTTTTATTCCACTACAAAAATAAATTTTGCATCCTTATTGCAAAAAATACTAACATTAACAGATTGTAATTTATGTACCAGGGGTGTATTCTTCACTCAGTCATTTCTCTAAGCTTTAAGTTGCTCAGATGTAGGTATGTTTGTTTTACTATGTGTTTTCAACAACAACCATTGAGAATAGCCATGATTATTTGATTGATCACTCATGCATAGCTCAATTTGTTTTCCCTAGAGACCACTTTGGAGAAACCAAGATACAGTACAACAACCACTGATAATTTCCTGCCATTTTTGTCTATAACTCACTATTATTTGTCTATTTGTTTTCCTGAGAAACTATCTTAAAGATACCAATAGGTAAGATAACAACCATTGATAATGTCAAAGAAAACACAAAACGCTTTAAGTTTCTCAGTAATAAAAATGGAAATAGTAGCAGTTCAGCACCCTTACTCTAGACATACAAATATTAGTTCAGGTCACTCCTCCCAAGTGTCTGTGCAGAATGAGCACTCAATAAATGAGTCAGTTTATGTAATCAATCACCATCCTCCAGGTTTTGTGCATCGACCTTAAGAGCATATTAGATCTTACAAGTATTCAATAAATACATCTTTACAGAATGCCTGACTGAAAGACACAATGCCTTCAAAAACAGTAAGCCCAAAGGAATAAGACTAAGCAGGCACTGAATTCAGGGGTTAGATACTACTAACTTACTACACTATGAGCCATGTGTTACTTAATAGGTTGTGGTAATGTGAACGACAGACATTGAGTGCCTCGCTCCTAAATGCACCCAAACTTACCTTTCAAAAATGCACAAGCTGTGTGCTAATAATTACACTGTTCAGTGGCCACAGATTTTTCCTCACCAGCCAGGTGCCTCCCACAGGAAGGATCAGCTGTGGGATATGTATGTTACAAGAGAGCTACCACATCAGATCTTTAAAGTTTCTGGGGTATACGCCTGGTTACTGCTTTCCGAAAAGTTGCAAGAAATTTTCCAAGGTATTCTTTGGTTCACAGTTGAAGCAGACAATGACCTAAAACAGTCCAGATCAAAGCTGAAATAGCTGAGTTTGTTCCAACTGTGCTGCTATGCAGACTTACACAAAGCATGAAGATAAGCCAAGTGTTCTTCAGCAACATACAAAAGCTGTAACGTGCATTGTCAGCGCTGTCTCATGTAACCCATTATCAACTTAAGTAAGTGATAAGGCTGTGAAGAAGTCTATTAACTAAACAGGTCATACCCACTGAAGACAGTGCTCTCTGAAATTATAATGGATCTTCAGTGGGCACCAACTGTTTCATTCACTCTGCTGGTTCTAGGTGCTCAGGATGGGGCAGTAAATCAAAGAGACAAAAACAAAATCTATTCTTACGTGCACATTCTAGAAGAGGGTGCACCTGTAAACAAAAGAACAAGCGGCTGTACAATACATGACACGTTACTGTGCTGTGGAGGAAACATCGCACGGGGATTAGGAGCCAGAAGAGCGGGAATCTAATACTGCACTAGGGGTTCAGGAAGTGCTTGTCTGAGGATGTAACATTGTGAGTTACCAGAAACTGAACTTAAGTGTGTGGGGAAGGGCTTCGCAAGCAAAGGAAACAGTGAAGTTCAACAGTCCTCAACCGGAACTAAGTTTTCTGTGGACATGCGTTGTAGAAGGAAAAAAATGGAAAAACACCTAGATTAGAGTTCCTTTTCGCCTCTGCCAGCCGAGGAACTTTAGAAAGACAACCTTACCGCTCTAGACCCTTCCTTCCTCTGTAAACTAAAGATGCACAGTATCTCACAGCTCAGTTATTCTAAGGAACAAAACGCTCGGGCATGCCCTTGCAGCACACAGGGATTCCGAAGGGCACGTCCTGAGAGCTGTGGGACACAACGAAGGCGCTGCTGCTTTCAGGCTACGGCCCTGACGAGCGGCCGAACTCGTTTCCCTGGCCGCCCATCAAGGCTAAGGGAACCTATCTCGCGGGGCGTCGCCGGGACGAGGGCTCCACAAAGAACTCACTAAAGGCATTCCTGCTGTGCCTGGGGGGGGGGGTGCCGGCCGGGGCAGGCCCGCCCTTCCACGCTGCTCCACGGGATTCGCTGAGTGAACTCGGGGCAACGTGAACCCAAACCCTCTGGACCGCCCTGCTGAGCTTTCCCCCGCTTCCACACGCTCCCGGGGCGTTCCCGCGTCTGGGAAATGAGCTTCACCTTCTCAAGACCTTGTAAAAGCGGCGACGCCCGTTGAAAAGGGCTGCAAGTAGGACCGCCCCCCAGCGCACTTTCCCGAAGCTTCCTCAAGGCCGTTTTGGCGCGCCCTCGCGCGCACCACCTGCCACGAGACAGCTCCCGCCTCGGGGCGGAGCGAGCTCCCACCAATCGGCCGCGCGCGCCCGCTCTTCTAAAGCGGCGGTGACGTCACCCCGCCGCGCGCGCACGGACGTCGGCGCGACCCCGCCCCGGCCTGCGCGCAGGCGTCTTCCGGAGAGCCCCGGAGCGGG